CAATTTGGTCTGGGCCCGAGGTGGGCTTAATATCCGGCGACTACTGTACTACAAAGACTACAATTACTACCTGAAATGTTACTGAGAATGTTATAAAAAGCAAAACACAGATCAAACCCTTCGACTACGTTCGGAATTTGGTTACAAGGTTCATTAACCTCTCAATACAATTTACTAGTGAATCGGCACGGATGCAGTCCTGAACTTGTCGACTGTGATTGCTAATCTGCATTTGACCTTCTAGCCACATGCCACGTGCAGTTTGAAAGAATTTCTACCTTTGGTTGTCTTAATACAGGGGCTGTTTCCTCCGGAATGGTGCAAGTCAAAAAAACCAGGAGGGCCGGAACTATCAGTTCACTTTTCACAGTAGATTACTTGCGCCGTTTTTTTATTTACTTAGCCCTATGGACTTGACGTGTGAGTCTAGTTAAGAGAGACACTGTAACACTTAGGATTGAAGAAGTAGATAGTTATAGGCAGAGGAGCGAAAAAGATCAATAAAATCGCGTCGCGCCTTCAGACATTTCGCAAAACGTCGGCACATTGCACGTTTACAATCTGCGAAGACTACGGACTCGGAAAGGCTCGCATCGACGTCAGATCTGAGCGAGTGATGTCGGAGTGAGGGACTAGCGCGCGTGTGTCATGTTTAGGCGGGGACGAATGCATGGTCAGTCACTACGCACAAAGTCCACGTTCAATCAGTCTTAGTAGGACCTAACATCGGTACAGAATGGTATAGGGAGGAGAGCGTGGTCGGTGTTTAACAAGCATCCTTCCATAGCATCAAAAGAATTCATAAGTTACCGCTGTCATCTCAGACAGCGGTGTTCCTCCCTAAGTTCGATGAACTAACCGCCGACCCCTCAACCAGTGTGAATCATAGTTCGGTCACTCAGGCTGTGGGCGAACGGATGGCCATAAAGTCGCGGTAAGGCGAGACACCACAAAATGGCCTTTGGATCCAGACCATTTTGCCACTTGGACACCTTCCAAAACACGACCTCTAAAGCGTCGTAGTAGCTGTTGGACTTATAATGATAAGAAAAGGAACTACATAATCTCTCTCTCTCTCTCTCCTTTTTTTCCTTATGAACAGATTAAGACGAAGTGCAAATCAGAATCGATTAAATTTTGAAGGGCCTGTTTTACAGCATTCTCGGAGCTATATTATCTTCCTATGAAAACGTTATCTAATTTTCGGAAGAAGAAGACGAAGAAGAAGTGGTATTCAATGGGGCGAGCTGTTGGATATGGAAGATGATGGAGGACTTCTAACTGGAACTTCCATAGTTCTACGACAGCCCTTTGTGTGGTCTGTGGTGTAACTCTATCGTACAATAGATTAGGGGGATGTTAGCTTGTATTGGCAGATTAGGGGTCAATCTACTCATTAATCTAGGCTGTCTTTCTACGATTTTTGGATAATTTCGCTCCAGCCGATTATAATATACATCTGCCGTGGTCGATTGGTTAGGTTTCATTAAATCATAAGGGATCACACCTGCACCAGACAACTAGCCACTCACCCTCGGCTTTTTGATGAATATAGCACGTTTTGGGCTGTGTTAGTAGTTTTTCCTTGTTCAACCACTGTGTTGAATATTTATTGTCAATTTATCGGATTTCCTTTTCATCGCACGTTACAATTCGATTCAAAAATAAATCAGTTTTGTGATGAAAAAGCAACATCATGCAAACTTCCCAAAGATGTTGCTTTTATTTAATTTGGAACCCACACACGTCCAGGTGAGTTACTATAGTTTGCTTGTTAACAGCAAACATCAAGGATAATTCATGTGCACTTTACGAAGGGTCTGACTCAACGGTGACTCTTCCGGTCGACATTAACCACCTTCAATTTAGGCCGACCGAGTGGCTCATTTGTTGGGTTGAAAGTACCAGAACAAAAAATCGCAAACCAATTTGATAACGTCTGTTGTGTCCTAATATTAGAACTGTCTGCGATGCTGTATTTCCACGTGAGAACTCGTATTTCATAATTTTACGATTGTTTTCATATTTTAACAATAATTATTATGTGCATCTACTCATTTACTTGCTCCTATGAAGCAGGTTATATTGGTCGCATGAGTCGGCGCCTATCTTAAAGAATACGGCATGGCTGAGAAAAGATGAAGCCAGAGACATAAACAGCGCTATCCCTGCGCACAGTGTTGGTTCCGGAGATCTTATGGACCACAACGAAGCCTTCTGAGTGATTTATAAGGTTCCACCAAATTACCCCAAGTACCTAGGTCAGTGCCTGCTAATAACAGCAGATGCGACTGCTATCAGGTTGAGGAAGCCGGTCTTGTGTGCACAAAAGAACCTCCTGCAAGCCCCGCGCCTGACATGGCCCACAGTCGCTTACCTGCATGCACTCTTTCGCGTTCTCTCCTTCTCTCTTCTACCTCCCCCTGGACCGGCTCCACCAAACGCTCTCTGTCGCATAACCAGTCTTGCCTTATCGAACCCCCCCCTATTCCCAAGACTCACTTGTATTATAGGGGGAATGATATTACGGACAAAGACTAGGGAGACTAGAGTGGCCACTTCTAGCTTATTAGCCGTTATTAGCCAGGCATACCCAACCCCAGGTGTAGTGACCCCCGAGGCTCACTTGTATGTAAAGACGAACATTACTTGTACCCCGTTACCATATAAATGTACTGGCCCGAGGAAAATATATCGAAAGTTTACGTATGCTCGCCAACTGCTCTACTAATAGAAGGGGTTTTCAATAATCTTTTAAGGCGCAAAACGATTTAAAATGAGCAGATGCGTGTGACAACTTTCTATAAAAAACAAAATAATATCAAAATATAATACCAAAGTAAAATAGACAGCTGTAAAAGTTGACCATATATCTCGCTACCAATTTTTATACTTGACGTTCCCATACATACTGTTGGTGAGCCAGACGCGGATACATCTAGGCTATCAATTATACACCTGAACGACAGCAGCACTTCAAGTTCGATGATTCTAGGCGAACAGTGCAGATGGAGTGGAGTATGCCTCTAACACCTCCGACTCGGCGTCTAATCGAGATGAAAGCTGAGACAAATTATTACCGCACGCTTTCTCCTTCAAACTGATTATGCTTCTTTAATCTAGCTAACAAGTGATTACAGGGAGAGGGGGTGAGTGTTGGTGACACAACAACTCCGATGGAACGGCAATTGATAGGGCCAAAAAACACTAATTAGTGCTCTCCCGGGGGAAGGAGGGGAGTGGGATGGGGGGGGGGACGCACACCTACTTACCTTGGTCAGGGCGTGGATACTGATGCCCGCGCTTAAGCCGATGGGTGGCTCCTCGAAGGAGGTTTGAGGCATGCTGCCATCTGTTACACGGCATGATTGAGGGGTAATTGAGGGCTCCAAGTGGGTAGAGTCACGCAGGGGACCGACCAGGCGGTCAGTACCACCATCAGCAGAGACTGGGACTCCCGGCCGGTAGCGCAGGAGAACCTGAAGTCGGTAGAAAAGTAAACAAAAGTAATAATGCGGGCGGATTGGATATTCAGTTTAAGTTTGGGAGTCATTGCACATTAGGCAAAACATGCAAGGAACGGTGACACTCACTAAGGAGCCAAACCCCCTTGTAGTGGAATCACATAACAGCAGTTGTACAGCGACAAGTTATTATGCGAAAGAAATACCGACAAAAACTAAGGACACCTGACGACTTGACACATAGAGCGCTGACATGGAGAGGACTCCTTTCACATTCTGCCTCCCAGATTTGTTTTCCATCTGAAAGGTTTGCAGCTGTGCAAATAAGAGGTGTATTCATGGAATCGCCAATGTATTAAATCCCTTTGGGGTCCTAACTGGTAAAAGTCTTGAGGGCATTCGCATCTGCTGTCTTTTGGAGCATTCTTATGGAGGGGGGTGAGCATGGCCAGAGAATGCGTTGAAAAAATAAAAGCTAAGTCACTGACAGGTCTCAGCTGTATCTATTCCCATACAACAGCAGACTTAATTTTGATACTGCCCCACATAACTTTGTCCTGGTCGGAGGCTTTAATTTCTTCGCGAGTATCTCGCTGAACTGTTTGCTGCTGAACCACCGTCTTGATAAGGATCCGACCGCACCACATCAAAGGGTAGGGTGAAAAATTGTTATGCAACGGCGTTTTTTCGATGGCATGATATATTTTTAGGGTCGTCTCGCATAGGCTCTTTGAATACTCACCATTAGGCCGGTGCAGTTATAGTGCTAAGGGTGAGAAGCAACCAATGAACAGGGGGTAATGAGGGAGAGTTGAGGGGTGCCTAGATATGCCGAATGTGGAAGGGAGGGGGAATACGATGTAGTTTCCAGGGGAGTATTAATGGAAAAAAAACTAGGAAGATCGGCAAGGTCATTTCTAGCCAGATGCACCGATATCAGTCAACCAAATCCCAGTTCCTAACCAGAAATAGGCGAAGTGTAAGCCTTCATCTAGCTGCTAGTTAAACAAATGTCCTACTGCGTGGACCGCGAGCTATCGTTCCTTTGCCTGTAAATGGGTGTAATAGGAGTTACATGGGAGTGTCACTTAACAACCAATCCTGAGGGCTGCAGAAATAAGTCCAAGGAAGAAACTGGACGTTTAGTTTCGTCCTGAAATTGCGATAGTGTCAAATGCTACTCGCAGATTGCTTCCTTTACGGACAAGTCATCGTCAAACTCTGATCGCAACAAATTATACTGTCTGCTATGAGGTCGCATGCTGCATACGTCACCCTAAGTACGACCTGTCCCTAGTGCACTTACTTTCTCTTTAAAGTTTGCTTACGCCAAAAACTGCAGACTAATGGTGTTCATTTCATGGAAAGGCATCCTTTGGGAAATAGGTAGTTTATTGCGTAAATT